ATACCACAAGAATTATTTTGTCTACTCAATTTTCACACTATTTATAGGTTAAAAATATTCACCAACCCAAGTTGTCCCAAACAAATAAAGCTTTTCTGATAAAGACCAGGTATCAATTTCTAAATTTCAATTAATGTAAATTAAATAAACTGTGGGTTATTTTGGGCGTGGGATGAGGTGCAATTCTGAGGATGGCACCCAGGGCCTTGTGCATGTGAAACAATTGCTCTACTACTGAGCTGCCTCCCAAACAAACAGAAAGTTTTGAAGTTCATTCCTCAATTGTGCACTATCTACATTTCAAGTGACCAAGAGTTCCATGTAGTGAAACCTATGATAGGTATAAATCCATCATTCACTTGCTCAAGTACCTCCATGTTTTCCTCAATGTGGTGCTGCCTATCCTGAGCTCGTGCTTGATCTCCAAATTACCCTCAGCATTTGCTGTTGTCAAACTTACTCATTTTTGCCAATCTGATGGGTATGGAATTGGCTTACTTTGCTTAAATTGCTTTTCGCTGATAATTCACAAAATGTTTAGCTTTTGCAGAAATCCTACTTGTAACCTTGGCATGTGTCCTATGGGGTTATTTATCTTATTCTTATTACTTTATAGAATCTATATATTCTGCATTCTATTTCCTTGTGGATTAAATGAAGTGGAAATGTTTTCTTCCTACTCTGAGTCATCTTTTCTCTTGGTATATGATCTCTTTTTGGTAAATAAAAGTTTTTATTATTAATGCAATAAAATATATCAATGTTTTTGGAGGAGGTCACTCAGTATTAGAGATAATTAGCATGCACAAGACCCTGGGTTCCATCCCCAGCACTACAAAATAAAAGGAAAGCAATCCCATGCAACTTCTCTACCTATTGTAACATCACAGCTCCTGTATTTAAGTGACTTTTGAAAGTAGTTGAAAGGACATTCAGTTTTTATTTGTTTTGAGAGAGTGCTTCACTATGTAGCCCAGGTTGAATGCAATCTTGCGATCCTCCTGCGTCAGCCTCCTGTGTAGTGGGGATGACAAGCATGTGTAGTGGTACCCAGCTACAGACATGTTTAACAGTGATATTCTCTGGTGGCAGTGCCAGCTGGGGCCAGGCATCCCTGGTGGGATGCGCAAGTGGCTTGGAGCAGTGTGATTCATACATTACCTTGTCATCCCAGGGCACTGCTGCTGGCAGACAATTCCTTGGATAGTGAAACCACATCCTATTTGAGGTTCCTCTTTCTTAGAATGGCCAAGCCAAAGATTCCTTTATTATTCAAAACCTGGGGGACTATCAGGAATCCTGGAGAATCTGTCTATGATGCCATATGTTCTTTGGCCAAGTGGGGAAGTCAGTGGGACACACTGGGTCACCTAATCTGGTGAGGCCAAGATGAGCACACAAGGGAAGACCTACCAGGAGCTCTGAACAAAAGGCCTGGGTTCTGAGAAAATGCACTCCTGCTCCCCTGCCCTCACCACCCTGGAAATGAAGTCTTCAACCATACTTCCCCAGCTAGGTGGCAGGGAAATAATTCCACAGAAAGTGAAAAAGTGGAAGACCCATGAAGGCTTGTGCAGGATATTGTGTGAACAGGAGACGGGACAGGAGAAAGCCAGATCTCCTTCCCTTTCTCTGTTCCCAGGACTCAGAGTTCATCAGCCAAAAAGCCTCAACCCTCTGCTCTGGACAAAACCCAGACCCATCACTCTCTCTCTCTCACAGATGTCAGCAAATTCAGGGACTTCAGAACTGTCCAAGAATGCAAACTGATATAACCTTGGAAAACTGGCAGAATCTATAAAAGGTGAACACACCTGTGCCCTGCACCAACACATCCACTCCTCAACAGATGGGCCCAGAGACACATGAGAGTGACTGTGACATCACTGCTTGGGACAGGCTGACAAACTCACATCAGCAGTAGTGTGGGGAAATAAACTGCGGTTATTCTTTCCAAGTATAATGTTATATCACAGGGAAGATGAATATTCTGCAAAGGCACACACAATGCCACAATGTAAATGAATCTCAT